CTGAATATGAGCCAACAGTGTGCCCTTGCTGTGAAGAAGGCTAATGGCACACTAGGCTGCAGTAGTAGCAATGTTGCCAGCAGATAGAGGAAAGTAATTATTCTGCTCTATTCTGTACTGCTGAAGCCACATCTGAAGTACTGTGCTCAGATTTGGGCCCCCCACTACACAAGGACATGGACAAGTTGGAGAGAGTCCAGTGGAAAGCAGCACAAATGGTTCGGGGCCTGGGGCACATGACTTCTGAGGACAGGCTGAGGGAACTGGATTTGTTTAGTCTGCAGAAGAGAAGACAGATAAGGAACCATACATAAACTTTGCCTTGAGAGCAAGCATTTGTCTTCATGCTTCTAGGGCAGATGGTGCTTTGGTCCCTCAGCTAGTGAGCCAAATAAAAATTTGTTCAGATTACTGTCCTGATATTTCCTTTTCTTTATTCTTCTTACATCTCTGCCTGTATCTCATATAATGATGACTGATTTCTTATGTTTACTCTTGTTTTTATAAGAATTATTTTCTATCATTTTAATTTACTTATTTTGAGGCTAAGTGTGATTTCAAAGTATTTGATCATACAGGCAGGCCTCTGCCAAGGACATGGGAAATGTATCTTTTCTGAGCACATACTTCTAGCTAGCAAAAACCCCTCTACTATGGGCTAGCAAGACCTATGTGAGACAGGTAAGGCTGAGGTGCCAGCAGTCAAGGAGCTGGCCCCTAACACACCTCAGTCTGTTCTCTGCAGACAGCAAAGATGTTTGGATCACAAGGGCATCATGAAGGTGTGAAATCCCCCCAGAAATGTCTTTCAAAGGCACCCCTGGCAACATCTGGAGCCAGGGAATGTCACATTGCTCCTTACTTTCCCATCCACGTTGGATCAACTGGATTAGTCAGCACATTTGGAGTAGAAAAGGTGAGAGGGAATTCCAGCATCAAGGTTCCACTCTCAATCTTCTTCCAGCCTAGCTGTGCTCTGACTGTAAAGTCCATTGCCCTACTCTCATAGTGATTAGGAACCTATATAGCAGGCTTAGTGGTGTAAGGGTGCTCTTAAATTCCTCTTTTTCTTCAATGATTATGTGTAGCTGGACTCAGAGTTAAGTCCTTATGATAAGACAGGCCCTGAGGGCAGCCATGGCATCCTCTGGGGGCCATCCTAATCTGGCCTGCACTGCAGGTCCTTGGTATACTCCCTACTTTTTATCTCACCTGTCACACCTTGAAGTCCTATCTATATTGATTAGGAGACTACCCCCGAGTCCTGGAGTGATCTCCCTGGTGCCTGATTCAAACTCTGGTCTCTGGACCCTTCATCTCCTAATAGAAGCTTGCCTGTTCCCTACGGGCAGATCACATGCCCCATCATGCCCTTCTGGCACTACCCAGACTCTATGATCACAGCTCATGAGCCTACGGGCTCTAATCATGGCTTCCAGCCTCCCGCATAGCCATGCCTCGCTGGTGTCACTGTCATCATCCACGTTCCTCTACAGGCTTCAGCCCTCTTCACCTTAGTCCTATTCTGACTGGTTACTTTTGTTGTAGGCCTCTAGCCTGGGCCCACTTACTCTGACCTAGCTTCTCTTCTCTTCCCTTCCCTTCCCAGGGTTCAGGCTATGGCCCTCTTGGTCACAGCCTGCTCCTGTTTCTCCCTCTCTTGGGGATCAAGCTTTGACCATTTTGGCCTCAGCCCACCTGTTGGCCTCTGGCCCCTTCCTGATGTCAGGTTCCAACTTCACTGGCCATGCCTTTAGCCCTCTCAGATTTGGCCCAGGCTCTTGCATTACTGCCCTTTGCAGAGCTCCAAAACCTGAATACCTCTCAGGCACTCCTCCATGGCCTCCTAGTCACCCCCACAACCACAATCTGTTCCTCCGGTATAAACCTGAAACAAACTGCCAGCAACGTGCTTCAAATAAAACTCTCAAAGCCCTTCTGGGGTACCTCCAGGCCTGCAGCTTTCACTCCCTCACAGCTTAGGCTGCAGGAGCTCCTCCCTCTGCAGGGAGTCCAGGGCTCCACTAGTCCCTCCGCCTTAGGGATCCAGGCTTATATTACCTGAGCTCCTCCTTTTCTGTTAGGTGTTCCCTTACCCAGGTACAGGTGTGCTCCCTAGGCCTACTAAGCAGCTTGCTGCTGATCTCCTGGCACAGCTGGAATTATTTCCCTTCTGACTACCTGGAGCTCTGTCTTATTGCCCTACTACTCTGAAGCCAGCTACCAGGTAGTTATTTGCAGCCCTTTAGCTCCCTAGCTGCCTCTTCTGAAGCTAGCCCAGGTTCAGCTGCCTACTCTTGCCTGTACATCTTATCAGTTATAGTCTTCATCTTATAGTAACAGGATAGAGCCTCTGGCTTCCTATTACAGTCCTGAAAAAAGCCATGGAGCTGAGAGTCACTTTTCACAAAAGAAATATAACAGAATGGAGGGAAAATGGAGAGACTGTAAATAATATGGAAACATATACTCACAATATAAAATGGAATTTGTCATTATGTAAGCAAACAGCATTCTCTTTCAGTCTCTGACTCTCCATCTTTTCACCTCAATGTTTCTCTTATTACAGTTAAACACAACATTTTTCTTGATCATCTGGCATAGTGCTAGGCTAGAATATCAAGTATATAACCAATCATGCTGGCATATCAAGCATGTAACCAATGATGCTTTTTTTTCCATTACCATGATGTTCAGGACTCTCTCAATACTCTTTAACTCTGGCCCTTTTTTTCTATGCAGATTATATAAAAGTGCATCCTTTCTTCACAATATCCTTGCCCTATTTTAATTCATTTCTACCTTAACATACTTGTCTTCAATGCAATAGGTCCACATATGATATGGCCCCGTTATCCCAAACTCAAGTAGCTGGGTCTCCCTGCTCACCAAGTTGAACTGATTTCATTTTATATGGAAATGACTATTTCACAATATTCCAAAGAGGTCTTATTTGGATTTTGCAAACCAGCACTGGATCTGTGTCTTTAATTATTTGTCATTATAACCACAAGAGGACTAAGGTGCCTGCCTGGTATGCTAGATGTCTACATCTAAAATTTAGATCTTCAAAACCCATGTTCACCTGCCACAGTAAAATCACCTAGGCACCTAATTCTTCCGCTAAGTCCTGACAATGCTAAGCAACTACATGATTTGCTCACAAAGAAGTATTACTGGGATTCAGAAACCAGGTATTCTTCCATCTGGCATTCCATTTGGATGGACAAGAGGTACGAGAATGCCTTCAAAGCCCAGTGGCATAGGACATTTACCTAGGGGAAAACCCGAGTTCCAGTACCTGCTCAAATGAATGTGTGTGCTGTGCAAAGTAGAACTGGGAGGCTGTCAGAGCCCACCCCAGAATACCATATACCCAGGTGGCTAAAACATTCTCCTGGTATGTGAGAGATGTGAACACAAGTCCCATCAGACCTTTCCCATTATAGGAAAGGTTTGAACATGTGTTCCCTGCATACAAGGTGATTGTTTTAGGTTCTTGAGTTGCAAGGGAAACCACCACTTTCTCTTCACTGTATTTTAGAAGAAAGGGCTAGCCTAGAAAATCCTTACCACCCCTCCAGTGATCACAGAATGACTGTCAAGATGGTAGTGACCTCTACTCACTTGTTTCCACATGGGCCAAGAATGTGCCATGAAAATGGCATGAAAACGTGGTCCAGAGAACACCCCAGGGCACACAGTGAAAAATGACTACATTTTTGCCAGTGAACTGTGCAGAGCAGGAGTGACTGGACAGTACTTGTCTCTTAGTAGCAATCTCAGGACTAAGCAGTGCAGTCCCCAGCTCCTTTTGTGGTTGTAGCCCTTGGGTGCTTTGCATAGTTAATGGTGAAAGTTGAATTTTTGGAACAGTCTAAGTGGTAACTTGAATGCAGCACAAAAACAATTTGAAAGAATAAAATCCTTACCAGAGTATTAAACAGAGAAAATGCAGACACTACACAGACAACTAGAGACCTTAGAAAAATTTGCAAAGTCTAGTAATAATTAAAGTAATAAAATTCATTAAACAAAGTAATAATATTTTATATTTAAATAACATAATTCATATGCTAATCTTTAATTGCTCCCATTGCTGATTCCATGCTCTAAAATAGAATGGATATTGTTACTTTGGGATCAACAAATTAACACCAGTGAATAATAAACCACAGATGAAAATCCAGGGGAACTATTTTATTAACTGACAAGAAAATTTATATTATTGCATTGCTTCTAGATCTAAGCAAATTGATCCAAGTAAGAAGAAAAATGCCTCTCTCCAGACAGAATTTCTGCCCTTAGGTTTTTATACATTCGTTTTGTTTCATGACAAATTTAGATTAATCAAAGATTACAAAAATGCCTCTCTCAAATTTAAAAAAGGCAAAATAATTTTCATAATCAAAACTAGATAAAAAAGAGTTGCCTTTTGAAAGAAGTGGATATGCTAGAGGGTTCAATTACACCTGTGTCTGACTGAATGCATTTTTCTTTCTTTTTTTCCCCATAATTTTTGTGCCCTTTGGATAGCTGAGCTTTTATTCCAATATGCTGGATGATGTTTGTTTCATAGATATAATTTTTATTTAAGCCTGAGGAAATAATGGAGTAAGTAATATTTTTCCCTGTCAACTTTATGTGACTCCTCAGTGTTTGGAAGGACTTTGTACAGTGTTATTTTCCATATGTGAAATGTATATTAGTGCTCAGACTTCAACCCTGTTATCTGTGTGAGGCAATTACATAATTCTCAAGTCTCAAACTAAATTAAAAACCTCAGGTCTTTAAAATGGAGAATGTTTCAATTATTTTTAGGAACCTGAGGACTAAACAAACTGGATGTTCAAATTTTGATTATGGAAAACATCTTCTCTTTATTTCCTTTCAGAGGAATGAGTCACAACATTTGCGTGCTGAGATGTCACCTTTGTTAAGTGAAAGTAAATAGGACACAGAAGAATGGAATTTCAAATGCTGATATTGATTAGACTTACGGGTACATGCCATAGTTGGTGGGTCTTTCTCCGCTCTGAAGTAACCTTTTTCACACTGACAGACAGAAGTTGCTTCTACATAGGTTAAACTGTGTGGAGGGCACTTGGAACACTTTATATTCCCAGCGAAAGCTTTATAGAATCCTGGCCTGCAAGCTGTAAAACAGGAAAACAATTTTTCATTATTATCAGGAGACTCCCATCATAAATACCGTAAGTTCAACATGTTTCCAGTGTCCCCTCTTTTTCTTCCTAATCTAGTTACAGACCATATTGCAATCAGAGTAAGAATCCACTACCTGGCTTTGTATTCAGGTATCTGGCCTAAGTGGAAAATCTCTGTTCTCAGCATTCAGGCAGGACAACCATGAAAAGAGACAAATTGCTCTCTTAGCAATTTACAGCCAGATTGTAGTCAGCACTACTGCTAGGGAACTAATGTGTAGAAGACTATAGCAATATCACAGACTGAAGATGTATTTTGCTTTCTGTTCATTTGATAATAGAGAAAAACTTGGTTAGTTTATTATCTAAGGCAGTGGTACCTAACCTTTTAGCCCCATGGGCTGGATGGGCAATGCCAGGTCCATCTGCAGGCCAGATGCAGCTTGTGGGCTTGATCTGGTGTTCAGGGCAGGTGGGGCTAGCCTTGATGCAACCATGCAGGGCTTGCAAATGTGGCAGTGGGAGGAGGGGAGGGCAGTGGAGTACTATAGCTTCTGTTCTCCTGCCACCAAATTTCCCAACCTGTAGGGAGCCCTGTGGGCCAGAGGCCATGGCTCCATGGGCTAAGTGTGGCCTGTAGGCTGCAAGTTGGGCACCCCTAGTCTAAGGTGTTCAATCTTTGTTATTAAAGTAACTGAGTGCTTCACAGTAATGAATTTCCTACAACATCCCTGTAAATAAGGGTATGCTACAATTTCATTTTATAGATGGATGAAAATACATCAGATCTACGCAAAATACTTGCAGTCACAAGGGAAGCCTCTAGTGAAACAGTAGCAATTAACTTAGGCTACACTTTTCCCAGGTTTCTACCAGTGCCATGGTGCAAGAGGCAAAAAAAGGCCAAGCCTTGGCTGGTGTGATGGTCCTAGTATTATATAAGCAAGCACAGTTTAGAGGAGCCCCAAGTCTACTTTAATTTCTGCCGGGATGCAAACTAGATCTCCAGCTTCCTTAGAGGCTGAAGAAATACAAGGGTGTTTTAAATATACTTTAGGGTTCAAAGAATGTCAGGCAGAGCTCCTGAGCATCTGGGACAGAATACTACTATACAGTATCTACTGATTTACTGCTGTCTGGTGGCATACAAACCAGTCATTTTAAAAAAGCTAATGCTTCTGCCCAATAAATTCTCAAGCTTTTCCCCTACAATATTATTTTGAAAATAGCTTCAGACTCCACACAGCATTGTGATAGAGATTTATTTCTTTCTCCTGACAACTACCAAATTTGCTCACGCAAATCTGCATACCTGTTTTTGACTAGTTTATTGCAGTTATAGAATTACATATTCCTTTTCAGAAAACAGAACTGAAACAAATCAAAGTTTAGCTAAAACATCTAAGGGCTGTGCACTGTTTCAGAATCCTTCCGACATCTCCAGCTGTAACATAAAAGTCCTTGCTATAAATATTACTTTAAAGATTGATGTGGCTTTTTCAGATTTTGACACATTCAGGCCTATCTGTTTTCTGCTGCAACAATAACTAAGCAGTATTTCTGTTCTCTTGTCATAAGACAAAGTAAAAATATGATAATGAAGTATTCTATAAATACGTAAAGACCACTACTGAGTATGCTCTTTGTATCTGTTTTGGTACCTCATATTAAGTGCATTTTTTTAAGATGATCAGTAGAGATCAACATATACTAGAAACAAATTCTGTCCCATGTGTTTACCAAGAGTGCTTGATACAAGGCTAATCTCTTTAGTAGCTGGGGTTGAAGCAAATGAGCGAACAAAAAAAATCAGGGATTGGCAAAGACGCCAGTTCATTACATATCAGAATTCAGATACCATTTGTTGAAATGCAATTTCAAGAGTTTAGTTTGGGTCTAATAACTTCAACAGCCTTCCCAGAATGCATCTCCTATTTGCATTCTAGAAGAAATCCATTCTATTAGTGCTGAAAAGCAAAGCAGAACAACAAATAAAACAACAAACAAACCCTAAACAGATTCAGTAGAAGAAAAATAAATTCTGGGACTCTTAACATTTAGAAAGCATAATTTAGGATCTAATATTGTTATATCTGAAGCCAATAGTTGCTACTGACTTTAATAGAAGGAGTTTGGTCTCTACAACAAATGCCTTGTCTACATAGTACATTTTTCTCAGCAGCAGCTGCCTCAAGCATGCTCCCCTGCACTCAGTATGCAGCCTCCCAGGCTGGAAGTACCACAGCCACATTTGCACAGCACCGTAAGAGGGCTAGTCAGTAGGGGTGTGCAAAACAGGCTGTATTTGATTTTGATTTGGCCTGAATCGGGGAATTGTTGATTCAGATCACTGTCCCAATTCAATTCAGCCAAATCTGAATCTGAAGACTCAATGCTGATTGGGAGAATCAGCGATTTGGCCATAGACACAGCTTTAAATGTTTTTTCTGCATACCTCGAGGTACCAGGTGCAGCTTGTGAATGCTGTGATAGTGGGGCAAATGGAGCATCTCACTGGAATGGCGGGGTGGGTTCTTGCATGCTTGGTGGCAAACCCAGAAGTGGACTGGAAGTACTTCCTGGCCACTTCCAGGTCCAGCACTGAGCGTGTGGGGGACTGCCCCACCCCCTGTGCCTCCCTGGTTCAGTGATGATCTGCAGGGGGACCCCAGGTTCCCCCCCCCCCCAGACCCAGGAGGCACCAGTTGCCAAGCTGGGGGGTAGGTGGGAGTCCCTCATGTGCTCCCCAGTGGACCCAGAAGTGGACTGGAAGTGCTTCTGGTCCACTTCTGGGTCCACTGCCAAGCATTCTGGGGACCTCCCCCTGCACTCCCGTGGGATGCTCCATCCACCCCAGAATCTCAGTATTCACGAGCCATCTGGTACCCTGAGGCATGCAGAAAAAACATTTAAAGCCGTATCTATGTCCAAACCATCAAATTTTCCGAATCTCTCCAAATCAATTCGGAGGGTTCTGATTTGATTCAGAGAGAATAAAGGGTCTTCTGATTTGATTTGGATTTGGAGATTCAGCCACTGAATCTGGCTGAATCTCTGCCAAATTGAATCGGGTGTAGGCAGCGGAGTCCCCCAGGGATCGGTCCTTGGGCCAGCGCTGTTCAACATCTTCATTCGCGACCTGGATGAGGGTGTGGAGAGCACCCTGTTCAAGTTCGCTGATGACACCAAGCTGTGGGGTAAAGTGAATACACCGGCAGGCAGGGACCGCATCCAGGCAGACCTGGATAGATTAGAGAAGTGGGCAGATGTGAACAGGATGCGGTTCAACAAGGACAAGTGCAGGGTGCTGTACCTGGGGAGAGGGAACCAGCATTATGTTTAGAGGTTGGGGGCTGACCCTCTCAGCAGCACAGAGGCAGAGCAGGATCTCAGAGTCATGATTGACTCCAGGATGAATATGAGTCGCCAATACGATGAAGCAATAGGCAGAGCCAACCGCACCCTGTAATGCATCAACAGGGGCATCACTAACAGGTCCAGAGAGGTCTTGCTCCCCCTCTATGCAGCGCTGGTCAGGCCGCAGCTGGAGTACTGTGTCCAGTTCTGGGCGCCGCACTTCAAGAAGGATGTGGAGAACCTGGAGAGGGTCCAGAGGAGGGCCACTCATATGGTTGAGGGCCTCCATGGCCAGCCCTATGAGGAGAGGCTGAGGGACCTGAATCTCTTCAGTCTCTGCAAGAGGAGACTGAGGGGGGATCTTGTGGCTGCCTACAACCTTATCAGAGGCCAGCAGCAGGGACTCGGGGAAAGTCTGTTCACCAGGGCCCCCCTTGGAGTCACCAGGAACAATGGCCACAAGCTGAGGGAGGATAGGTTTAGGTTAGATATTAGGAAGAACTACTTCACTGTAAGGGTGGCCAGAGCCTGGAATAGGCTTCCCAGAGAGGTGGTGCTCTCACCTTCCCTGGGAATCTTCAAGAGGAGACTGGACAGGCACCTGGCTGGGGTCTTATGACCCCTGCCACCTCCAGGGTTCCTTCCTGCCCCTGGCAGGAGGTCGGACTAGACGATCTGTCTAGGTCCTTTCCGACTCATTGATTCTATGATTCTATGAACCAAAACTTCTCACAGCCCTACTAGTCAGCACTGCTAGGAGACTGTGCCGATGAGTCTCCCTCTGAGTAGTCTGTCCACAGCATTGTGCAGACATGGTTAGCTTGTTTCCAATTTAGGAGGCCATTTGCACAGAGCAGCACAGTATGGTTGAAGGTGCCATTACTGAACATGGTAAGTTTACAGTGCAGACATAGCCAAATGAACAAAATAATTGTTTGTTAATGAAATGTAGTGGTAAACGACATTCAATTTCTGAATGTTTATAGCTACCTATTATTTTAAAGGTAGGACTAGCCACAAGAAACATACTATTTTAAAATGTCTCACACAAATAAATTGGTGGAAATTATTTAATCTGTACAAGATTTCAGTGAAGAGTTCTGCACCTTGAGGATGGGCCATGAAGACAAATCTTAGTCTGAGGAAGGATGACTCAGCAACTAGCTTGATATCTCAGAATGCAAGAGAGTACAAATATGAAGAAAAATATAAATTCTTCCTTTGTCACATATTCTCTTTTTGACTAGGCTTAATCTGATTTTTTTTAGACCTCAGGGCAGTTCCTGCCTGATGGTGACTGATTGGATTGGCCCTGGGGCTCAAACCTCAGGGCTGTCCCAATTAGCAAATTATCAGTTGGCAGGGACCTCCCAGGACTTGAGCCCTCAGGTGGTCACTGCCAGCTGATAGCTGATTGGGACTGCTCTGGGGCTTGAGCTCTTGGGTAGTCCCTACCAGCTGATGGCAGAAAGGGATGGGTCAGGGGACTGAGCCCCTGAACCATCCTGATCTCCTATCATCAGCTCACACAGACTGCCCTGGGACTGGAATCCCAGGGGGGTCCCTGCCAACTAATGGGAGATTATGGCAGCATCACAGCTCAAACTCTGGGACTTTCCTGATCAGCTGACTGT